GTGGTACATGAGAAACAAAGATCTGCATAAAGACCTAAATATGCACGAAGATGATAAAATTTCCCATCTAACTTTTCGTCAAGTCTTGAGATACTTCTATTATTTTTTCTCAATTATTCCCAGTATCGAATAATTGATAAAAACTAATAAAATATAACCATTACCATCGGCAACCCAAAACAGACCCCATAAATTGGACGCGTTCGCGCTAACGATCGGGACACAGGCACGTACATAAGGAATTCTTCCGGAATCAGGATGTATCTCCCTCTGCCCGTCTCTTTTTCTCCTTCTGCCTCTCCCGCCGGGGGTGGCCAGTGTCTCGGGGGCGGTCATATATCATCCACCCCCGGGGGGTGGCTGCGGGGGAGGTGGAGGCAAAAAATCTTGCCGGGCAAAAACTATCATCAGTGCTCGGGCAAAGAGAGCTGAACGCCTCTCTTCTTCTTTCTATCCGCTTTTCTCCTCCCGTGTTCTCTCCTAGTCCTTCTTCTCCTTCTTTTATATATTCCGGAGCTCTTTCACTGGTTTCAGGAAAGGACAGGAAGAACCGAAACTCGGCGAGAAAAGCTCCGAGGAAAGGTCTCGACCCAGGTTCATTAGGTTCTCGATGCTTGCTTTTGGCAGCGTTTAATGAGAAGGAGGATAAAACGTCTCGTTCAAATCAACCGGAATACCCCACTGTTCATTTGAAATGCTAAATAATCCAAGATCGTCACGTCGACGATGTTCAAGTTAGGAGATTCTCTAATTGCCAGGAGAACCGATAAAGTTCTACCGGAATTTACGTGTTTTTCTAACGCTTGTACTCCCTGCAAGATTCGACCCTCGTCGAAGAAATCGAAGCGGGTGTCGTCCGCGGCTCGTTTCCGCCGATGAAATATCGACGTTCCCCGGTTCGAGATTCGTTTATGTCGCTCCATAAGCTGCCTCGTCTCTCGCTTGATATTGGCTCAGGGCGACGACTCTCACGATAATTGACATCCACCAATTTTATGAAGCTTTTCCGACTAACAGCGAACGATGTACACACGTTTCTCGATTCGATTCAATGGAGAAGCACGGTGGTGTGTCTATCTACGCTTTACGATACGTATTCTCCATAATTCACGCGAACGAGACAAGAAATTAGGAATCGTTTCTGCAAATTTCCCAAGTATCTCACGGTAAATAAATAAGTAGCAGAAGAAACGGCAGAGGGAGAGAGGGAGGAAAAGTGTCGAGTAGCAGGATCGAGAGAGAGAAACACAGAGAAGAGGTTAGAGGGGTTCGTTCTGTAAGGCCTCCTGCAATGAATCAACTTATTTAAGGGTAGTTGGATTTCGCGAGTCGATGCACGACGACTACGAGGCACCTCGATCCCTCCCCGTTCCCCTGCTGGTCCCTCCTTCTTCAACATAGCACGCCTCGTCGAATGATTTATAGTTTTCCTTCCGTGGCCACCCATCCACCCCAGCCTCGCGCAAACGGCACCCCTCTGCCAAATGTACGCAAAATAGTCGGAATTTGCTCGGCACCAGCCAGGCTGAAGTAAAATCCTGGCTCTATAAGGGGTACCTTCGAATATGAACCAACTTTGCTCTCTCGATTAAGATATTATTATTCATCATCTTCGTACCAGCAAGTTAGTTTCACGGTATCGGTGAACGAATGATTTTTATCTGTTTCCTTGACGAGTTTTGTGCCACGTTAAAAATTCTCGAAACAATAGAAGGAACAGTAGAAACGATAGGAAATTAAGACGAAGATTGTGGATGTTCTTGGTTGGAGAGAAAATGGTCAGAAATGGACGAGGTTAGGTGGGAATAATTAGTCATTTATGAGGCCGTAAGTGGGGCCGCAAATCGGTCCCTCCCGAAGGGACAACGACGCAGGGACGACGGCGAGCGTTATCTCGAAATTATTAATCATATCGTAACGCGTCGCACCGATGAAGAAAGAGAGTAGGGAACGGGCGAAAGGGAGAAAGAGCGACGAACCACCGACTCCATGGACTTATCTGACACCTTAATCAATTCCAAGTTATTAATTACGGACCCGGCGCTCTCTCTCTCTCTCTCTCTCTCTCTTTCTCTACGCCCCCGCCCTGCGGCGTCTCCTCCATCAAGCCGGTGGCACACGCTTCAGAAAGCCACCGGAGCATTGTCTGCGGCTCACAATGCAGTGTCAACACGATCGGAGTCACACTTCCAGCCGGCCGGTCATTAATAATTATTTAAGCGAACCTTAAGCTCACCTCGGGAGAAACTCAAAAAACCGCAGAGCATTTCTCGCCAATTTCTCTGTAGATTCGTCACGTTCAAACTGCTTTTTTTTCCTTTTTTTAAGTAAGTACTGGACGTTGCAATTCTTATTCCCTTAGAGCGCCTAGAAATCTCGTCGGTGGATTTCAGGATGAAGGGAATTTGAAGTTCGTAAAAATAAAGAACCGTCTTCGTTGGAATACACTCTGAGAACGATAATCAGAAGGTTCGAGGTGGGATTGGTCCCGTTGCAACGAAACGCGCGGAAACCAAACGAGCGAGACGAATAAAAAGACAACAACCCTCTCTTCCCGATAGAAGTTGAGCGATCGTCTATGCAAATACCTAATCCTTTCGCAGATCCATCCGAGGTGACGTTGACGGATTGGCGCTGAAGACTTTGTTCGGAAGGCAGCCTGAACAGATTGCAATCCGCGACACCATTTGTTTCCCCGAGGCGCGGAGAGAGACCTTCGTCGGAAGGCATCGATTAACGGTTCTCCGTTAATTGTCGATAAAGAGAATGAAAGCCGGATGACGAGGTTCTTACGTGAAAAACCGGAAACGTCGGGAGAGCACGCGATCGCGTTGACAATTCGATTCGACAAGGAACGTGAAAAGACCTTCGTCTAACGCCTGTTTTTCTTTGGCCTCCTTAAAAAGCAAGGAAAAATTACTCTCACCCTGACGATTGATTAACGGTGCTTCGTTACTTCCAACGGAATTCCGCGGCCTTTATATACCACCTAACGACGCGACTTTTCCTCGTGAGAAAATACAACGTGTCACGGTTGGAGAACGTTGAAATTTACAATGCCAAAGGTAAAGAGGTGTCTGCCGCGCTTTTCTAACTACGGAAAAGACGCTGGTATCCCTTATAAGCATCCGAGATTCATGAAGCTTCCCGTACGAGTGTAACAATCTTCGCTAGAGAAAGAGTGAGAGAGAGATTTAAACGTTCCCGTAAATTTTCCAGGATAAAATGCCAACTGAACCACGATAATTGCCACGGTGAAAAAAGAAAAAAGGGTTAGAAGGATTAATCACTCGCGAGGAGAAGAGAAGACAATGTCCCTGGAAAAATATTCTCCGGCTATTTCCCTTGTTTGGCCAGGCGTGAACTTTTTAGGTACGCGTTATCGGCCATGGTAAAGCGTGAATTTGAATGAAACAAAAATTTTCCACACATTCCTCGAATTTTACTACCCGGGAAGAAATGTTAGAATCTCGTGGTGAATCGAGCGAACGAAACGGTTCCAGCTCGAATTCTCCGTTCGTGATAAAACTATCGAATAATATCATTAATCATCGAGGCTCGTTAAAATTTAATTATCGCTCGTTCCTCCGCCTAACGCGCCGATACGCGTTATGATCCTTTCACAAACCGTCCAACGAGACCTCGGCTATTTAAAATACTTAGCAGGCGAAGGGACCACCGCACCGACCACTTGTTCCAGGTTTTCACACCCCTTTCGGCCTGTACCGAAATCAAGCGTGACATGACACACGCTGTAATCCACGCAAAGGGTTGATCCCAGTTTAGCCGGCTGTCCGTAAACCGTGGACTTAAGCCCCGGCAAATTTGAATCCGTCAATCTTCAGCGTCCACTAACGGGAGCGGAAGCATATAATCAGCCCGGCGTAATACCCGTCCGGGCATTAAAAGCTTTTTTTCACACCGGTGCCCGAAAGATTTAACCCCTGTTTCGGGAAGGTGTTTAATTTCGACAGCACGATCACCAGAGAGTTAGACGAAATTCGACGGTTTTAACGATACTTTGCATTGTTTTCACGGGTAATTTAAATATGAAAAGTTCAGCGATGTTTGGAAGATCCTTTTCTTTGGTTTTGTCAAATTTCAGTTGGTTTCTCAGTAGAGAAACTGTCGAGTCGACGGAGATTTGATATAATTGGGCAATTGAGCATAAAAATGGGGCAGTTTTGAAGGATTTTGAGGCATAAGTTAGCCAAGTTAAAGAGAATACTCTATACCGCAGACAAGAGACGATAAATCATTGGTGTAGAAACGTCCTCGATCTTCGTTCGAGCGGGCAATTAGGCGAGTCCAGCACGGAGATCGTGCGGAAAAGCGGACCGGAAAGGGAGAGGAAAGGAGGAAATTGCGGTGCGGCCGATGAGCGTCGAATAAGGCGAAACGGTATTAAGACGGCGGGGCCGTTTTCCTCGAGGCTGATGTATCATTTGCCGGCGGGTCGTTAGGCGGTTTCAATTAGTTTTCCACGCTGCTCTCCTGGGTTAATGCGCCCCTACTATCTCCTCGCTTCCCCTCTTTCTATCTTTCTCATTCTCAGTCCCTAACAGTTACTCTTCCTCTTCTCTTGCAGCCAACGAGACATTGATCTTTCAAGATTCTACATTTTTTCTGATCCTTCCAACTTAAAATTAACGAAAATTCTTTTCTTAAACTTCTTTCTTCTTTTTTATGTACTAATGAAGGTAACTGAAGATTGTTATTATTTTATTACAAACAATTTTTCAAATACATATTGTTGTATCGTTAAGTAGACATTTAATAAAGAAATAAAGTTAAATAACACTTATGGTGATGCTGGCTTTGTATGTGTGTGATATCATTTTAATCGAACGTACAACTAGCGCCCCTTGACGGTGCATTGAGGAAACCAGGCATCTACCAGGCATCTACCAGCCATTTACCGTATACGGTTATCTTGCAAGATAGTAGAAATTCTTTTTATCGGTAACAATTGTTCAACAAATAAAAAAAAAAAAACTCACCGAACGAAGGAACGCCAACTGTCTAGAAACCCCTTTTCCACGATGTAGTATGGCTTCTCCGGATCTTCACACTTTAATATCTCGTTCCTGTTTCTGCAATGATACAAGTCGTTCAACTCGTCCTTTTGTTGCTTCGCCTTTATCTTGTCGTCCTTCTTCGCCTTCTGAGCGTTCTCCATCTTCTCCTGCACAGTAAAATCACCTCGATGTTAATCTATGGAAATTTCTTAATTTTTTTTCGAACTTCGATGGAGAAACGTACCTCGCAAATTGAACACGACGCAGAACCAACAACATATTCCTTAGACTCTGGGAAGTACTTTTGAAGATTCATCCAAGCTTCACGAGGAACTACTTTTCTCGAGGAGTCCGGTGTTTTCAGAGAATTATGTTCACAGAGTAGATCCTCGTTGAAGTAAAGTATGATCTCGTTCTCTTCGCCTTCTCCCGGTTCTTTCAGTGCTTCACTTTTCTTGGTCACAATTTTAGTTTCTTTTTGAGGGCCATTCGGGTCGCTGTAATCCTCAGCCTCTATTTCCTGCTCCAAATCGTCCATGAACTTCTCCATCGCGAGTCTCCGCCACGACCTCAAGGAATCAGCACCGACGATGTAACTCGTTTCAGATCTGCAACCACGAAAATAAATTATTTTACGAGGTGACACATTTGTTGCATATTACACAAATGAATTCGTTCCAGGATACTCACGTCTCTTTAAAGTTGCGTATAAGTTCACTGACTTCCTTGTAGTCACGTTCCAGGGATATCTTGAAACGTAGCAATTTGTATCTTCGTTTTACGCAAACCTCGCAGAAAGAATTCTCGTCCAATCGTGGCCCACCGCGATATTTATCGAAAAGCAGATCTGCAGCTGCCAGAGGCATACACTTTGCACGATTCACTTTTAAAGGATCCAGTCGATAATGCGGACACATCAACGTGGAATTGTCTATCGGTGGTACTCCGTCAATGGACAAGTGGCCGTTCAACCATTTCGACAACCAATCGCTTGGAATCCACTGATATATCTGCCACGATTCTATGGCCGAGATAATATTGTACACGTCTATTACGAGCTGCCTCTTCAAATTCTGATCTTCGATCTCTTTTTGCTGAAAGAAATACCATTGATAATACTCCTTAACTGGATCTTTTAAAATGGACACATCACTGTTATTAATACATACTTTTTCTTGTTGAATCGCCAGCAAGCTTAGCTCGTACTTTACATTTTCTTGCCTGACTAACTCGCGCAGCGTAACACTCACTTCCCAACTTTCGAACTCCATCTGCAAAATGATGAAACAATAACGTATGAAAACATGAGATAATATATGAAACAATAAGGATGAAAAAATGAAGTACACTTACCTCTTCGTAGAAATCGCGTTCCCCGCAACTCATGGCCCTGTGTGCAGCACCATTTAATCGCTTATAGTCCACCTTCGTATTTTTTACAAATGGTTTCTTCATTTGTACATCCTGTTGATTTTCTTTATCGTCGAACTCGTCGTGTTTGCCATTTTGTTCGTCGAAATTGGAATCAACTTTCGTAAACGTCACTGTTTCTACTGCGTCATCTTGAGGAGATTGTTCTGAGATTTCTATTTCTTGCTTATCCTCCAGATCCAATTTTGGTATTTTTCCAGAAATTTCCAAATCGGGAGAAACGGAAATACACTCGATTTTGCGTTTTCCTTCATCTGACGAATCCGATTTTTCTTTAACACCAACAGTCTCTATGATCATCACATCGTCATCGCTATTTAAATCAGTGTCCAATTTCTTCTGTTTATTTTTTTTCGTGTTATTCGTCCGCCTCTCTACGGTAGCTCTTTTGTAGACTAACATGTACGCGGTATTAGAGGACAGAAATCCTTTAGGTATGCGTCCCCGTTTTACAACCTTTGAATTCTCTATAATAAATAACGCTTAGTTGAAATCTTGTTTTACCAAACAGATTGTTAACGTTACATAAAGATTTACGCTCACCAGCAACACCGTCCTCTATTCTTTTATTCTGCATTCTTTCCACTTTGTCGTCGCTAAATTGATACCATTCTCCGTTCGAATTACATATATTTGCAATGTAATGACCCGAGTGTGCAGATGGACCTTTATGACTCAAAACAGCGACGAGACTGTAGAAATGGGTTTGCGGTGGACACCGCACATATTCAGACATATCAAGATCTTCCGGAAACTGTATAAAAGAATTCAACTTTCTTTTCTGCCCAGAATCCCTGACAGCAACAAAGTAATACACGCCATTAATATAAAACAGGACGATCTGACGAAGCACGACGTAAAAATAAGAAAATGAAAACTACCTATGAAACACGAAACGCATTAGTTGTATGTTCAATGTTTCTGGTAGGGATTCCAAACGTATAAAACGACGCGCATCTTTTTTGTCATTGCACGTAACGCAGTGGTACTGATTTGCTCCAGTCAATTGCTCCACAGACAAGTATTTTTCTATCGCCTCTTTCAAAGTGGCTGCGAGCTGTAGATCCAACTCGTAGAATGTCGTGGATGTTGGATATTCAGTACCGCATTTCGAACAACTGCGTCAAACATAAAACTCGCGTTATTTAGAAGGAATTAACTTCTCTCGGTCAGATCAGTTGATCGCACCAGTCATCGCAGCGAGCAACGTGTCCTACCATGTTCTCATCGTCAAGATCATCAGCATCATCATCGTTTAGGACAATTCTCATTTGTTTTCCACTTCAGAAAACCCACCAATTGATATAGCTGTATTTTCCTTGGGTCAGCCTCTGCAGCATCTGCTTCAGGTCAGAGTTTTGTTGCAGTTTCCCTTCGATATGGCAGAGAAGTAGCTTGGAGAATTCCTGTGCATCCTGTTGAGTCCTAGTATCCAAAGACAACGCGACAGCAAGATTCATTGGATCGAGTAGACGACGATTTCCGAATTGCATCATTGCAAATATATATTGCAACTGTCCGACTGCTGTCACTGGATGAAACGGTATTCCTGCCTTCGTAGCGTCACACACAGCTTCCTTTTCTTCCGGATCATCTATGATATTCCATTTGTATATTATCCTCCTAGAAATACCATTAGTAATACATATTAGTAGTGAAGTTAGTCACAAACTAAACGTTAAAGGTATCAAGTAATACATACCTCATATCTTCATTGTGAAACCACATTTGAATTAAACTGTTAACATAACATGTTGCACCTAAATTCTTTAAACCAACATACTGAGTAGGGTCACGTAACTCTGATAAAGAGCTTTCTAAAGACATTACTTCCGCAGGCTGTGACTTCATGTACTTTTCCTCTCCTAGTCCAGTCAAGCATTGTGGATTATTTGTGCAATTACGTCTATAACCAAAGTGTTTATTTTAAAATATTCAAAGAAGTTTGTGTGTACTTTCAATGAGCATAACACTTACTTGCAATTTTTACATGCTTTTAAACCTATCCTATAAGCAGTTTCCAAATGTATCCTTTCTATTTCTTCTAATAGCACACCTTCTACCCAACCCCATGCTAATTTGTCTAAATCAGTCTTTTTTGTTGGCGGCATTTTTACCTGAAACAACAATAGAAAGAACATTTTAAACAATGGAACTCCAATGCACATGTTTGATTACGCGTTTTCTTTCGCGCCATGAGAAAATCGTGATTCAATCGCATAAAAATGGAACGAAAGTAGCACTTGAAGTAATCAATTTTATAAAAAATTCATTTGTTGAAAATAGTGATTCGAGAATATTCACGAACAGTGTACTGAATTAAAATCGAGACTGTGGCAAATAAAAAAATTTCTACGTCGGAAAAATCATGGGTAGTATACCTACATAAAAAGTACTGTACGTTCCTAACTGTTAAGGTTATGAAAAATGCCGCTGCAATCTTTGTAGCGTATTGTTCTTCTCCTATAACATTATTTGGATGCGAAAGAATCTTATTCCGTCGTCGAATTCACTGAACACAAGCATTTATCGATATTTTCCATGAACACGTAAAAAAGTACTATCAAAACACTCTAACCGTTCGTGATATACACTAATCGCCATATGCAATCGGATTTGGTCTAGGCGCGCGTCAAATCAATCGCTAAGTAATATAACAAAAATAAATTAAT